CCTCTTTGATTCTTTTTTTTTTTTTTTTTTGTCTTTAATACCACTGATGAAGGTGACTTTTCTCTTATTTAGTAGTAGAAGTATAATGTATTATTTGGTGTGTTTTTCAAGAAAAGTAATAGAGCTATGCAACTAAAGAAAATTAACTCCATGTTTCTTACCAAAAAAACTATTTCTTCTGTTTTGCTCAATAGCCTGCCTTTTTCACAGACATTGACAATGATGAACAGCTAAGCATTATCAGCCCGGTCAGTCAGGCATGTCTCACAGTGAAACAGTGGTCAAAAATTGCTTTGCGCAAAGCAATTAAAAACTTTTCTTCCCAGGCTTTGAGGATGCGTGGCCTTGAAGCTGTTAAGCAGCTTTGCTATCCAAGAAGTATCATCTCTACTACTGTACACATGCATGCTTCTAAACTGATTCAAATACTATAGCTTAAGAATTAACACTTAAAGGTAATTTCTGTAATATAACAGTTTAACTTATGTGAATTTTGTATCATTTAAATTTTCAGACGGAAAAGGAAGATGTTCCAGACTACAGGTTACTTAAGAAACAGGATCTCCTTCCAGGCACGGTGTACAGGTTCAGAGTTGCTGCAATTAATGGGTGTGGTGTAGGCCCTTTTAGTAAAGTCAGTGAATTTAAAACTTGCATCCCTGGTTTTCCTGGGGCGCCTTCAACGGTCAAAATCAGCAAGGTGAGAGGCTGAGAGAATCATTATGGAGACTAAAATGCTAAGGTTTTGTTAGCTGACTTAACCTGGGAATTTGTGGGTTCTATTCTTGAGTGTGTCTTATAAGAAATAGTATCAAAATTAGATGGCTAAATATGCTTTCTGTAATGCTTCCACTGGATTTACTATAAACCACCCATATTTACACTCAGTGTTATGAGGGGAAGAGATGTTGGTTACAGCAACTAAGACTTTTTTTTTTTTTACTGAACAGCTGGTATGTTAAAATAGATAGCATCTGCGTTTATTAGACCTCTGGCTTTGACTTTAAATCCTTGTCTTCAAAAATAAAATGTGGGGTGGGGAGGATAGGTGGGAGGAGGGGCAGGGAGAAGGAAGGGTTGACAAAAAGCAAGAGAACCAAAGATCCATATGTAAATACATACACCTCAAATGATGTAGAACAGGATGGGCAAAATACAGCCCATGGGCTGGATCTGGGCCGTCAATTGACTGTATACAACCAGTGGTTGCTTTGGGGTGGGAGCACAGTGTGGGATGCCCCAAGTTGGGCTCGGCCCCATGCGGAGCATGTTGCAGGGCAGCTGTAGGCCAGATGAGGGTGGGGGGTGGGCAGAGGTGGGTTGGATCACACCTCCTGGGTAAATTGTGCTGCATATGCCTTCTGCTCCCTCCCCCAACCCCCAGCTGGCTCCTGGGACCTGGCAAGCAGGCACCCACATTACCCCTGCACTCATCTCCTCCCTATGCACAATATACAAGAGCAGGGGTAGGCAACCCTTGGCACTCATGCTAGAATGTGGCAAGTGAAGGCATTTTCCTTGACGTGTGCCTTGGGGATGGCGGGGGAGCTTCTACAGACCCAATCCTTGTTGTGGCAGTGCAGCCCCAACCCCATTCCCCACTGTCCTCCTCAGCATTTGTGTACCTGCTGCTGGCAGTGAGCCAGGCTAGGGTTCTGCAAAACATGCTGCAGCTGCTTGCAGCCTTCCTGCTGCCTGCTGTGAGTAGCTTGACCTATGTGGTGGGCAAAAGGGGCCTGCCCAGAGCCTGCGTGGGCTGTAGAAGGCAGCTGGGAGGCTGCAAGCAGCTGTGCCAAGATCAATGGAACCCCAGCCCACTCATTGCCGGTGGCAGTTGCACGTGCCTCGGGATAGACTGTAGGGAAGGGGCTGGGCCTGGGCTGCCCTAGCAAGCATTGGGCCTCTCGCAGCGCACCCGGTATCTGCCTCAGGCACACCTGCAACCTCAACTTGTAAGATGCTGGCATTTTTGGCACTCTGCCGAAAAATATTTGCTGACCCCTGTACAAATGCATGATTACATTTTGAGCTATTATGTATGCTACTCAAAAAAACCCCCATAAATAAGGACAGATACATTTTTAAAATAAAATTAAAATGTGTTACAGTAGATGGTTGAATTTTTTTTTTTTAATACATTGTTTTTATCTACAATTTATTAAACTGATATCTTCTGAAAGATTTTGTGTGCAGCCCTCGACAGCTCATCAAAACTCATTAAGTGGCCTGCCAGCTGAAATAATTGCTCACCCTCCATGTAGAAGGGCAGCAAGCATGATCAGGGGACTGGGAGAGACTTACATATGAAAAGAAACTGAATACGGTGGGGCTTTTTTAAGCTTTGAAAAGAAATGATCAAAGAGGGCATATGATAGAGGTTCACAAACTAATAAATGGTGCAGAGGAAGTAAATATTGATATTCTCTCTCATTACAATTAGTAGACCTAAAATTTTAACTATTAAGTAAAAAAAATTAAAAGTTTATCCTCTCTCTGCATCAGGATCCAGTCTGCCACTGTGAGACGGGATGCTGAGATGGGTGTGTGTCTATGGTCTGACCCTGTAAATGGCAGTTCTTGGAGTTTGAAAAGTGAAATTTTAGATTTATTTAAAAAAAAAATCTAAGAAGTTATAATCTTTAAAATTGGCCATGGTTCCTAAAAGTGACTGACATGCCATTATAAGACCTGGAATCTATTTCAAACCTCTTCAGTTGCAAACTGCCAGACCAATATTCTGTATTTCCGGTGCTACTGTATTTTTGTTTGTTTGATACATGTGTGAGCCAGAGGATAAGTTGTCTTGTCTTGTTTTTGCCAATAGTGGCATTGGCCTTGCATTTTAACGGGGATAAGCAGTAGTAGTAAATACTTGAACAACAAAAACAGAAGCTGTGAGAGAGAATAAACAAGTAACAGGTTGGAGGGAAAGTGTTCTTTTAGACCAGGGATTGGCAACATCTTTGGGTAGAGTGCCAAAAATACCTGCAACCTCAACTTGTAGGATGTTGGCATACTGGGGCAATTGACAAGGGAGCCGTGAGGGGCCCAATCCTTGTTGTGGTAGTGCAGCCTTGGCTGCTTCCCTGCTGTCATACTGTTTTCCGTCCCCGCCCCCCAGGCTTGAGTGTACCCACTGCCAGCAACAAATTGGGCTGGGGCTCTGCAGACCCCAGTGCAGCCACTTGCAGTCTCCCAGCTGCCTGCCATTGCCAGCCCAGGCTCTGGCCAGGTTCTTGCTGCCCATTACAGAGCTTGGGTTGCTCACAGTGGGTGGTGGGGAGCCTGCAAGCAGCTGCACGAGGGTCTACAGAGCCCTGGCCTGGCTTATTGCCAGTGGCAGATGTACACATGCTTCAAGGTGGATGGGAGGGAAGCGGCTGGGGCTGCACTGCCACAGCAAAGATCGGCCCCTTGCAGCTCCCCTGCCATCCATCCCGAATCACATGGGCCAAGCAAAATGCCTTCACGTACCACATTCTGGCATGCGTGCTGGGGGTTGCCTACCCCTGTTTTAAATTCTCTCTATTTAATGGCAGTGGAACTTTATGCAATGTATTGAATTCTGCAGTGGAATATCAAGTATGTTATGCTTATATACAGCTAATGACTTATTTATTTATTTATTTCTTAGAGTGTGGATTGCATTCATCTTTCATGGGAGCCTCCTGTTTCACCCTCTGGAAATATCTTGGAATATTCAGCTTACTTAGCTGTTCGTACCACACACATACAGGAAAATCCAAATCAGCTTATGTTTATGAAAATATACTGTGGTCTTAAAACATCTTGTATAGTGACTGCTGCACAGCTTTCAAATGCCCATGTTGATTACACTGCTAGACCTGCTATTGTATTCAGGATTTCTGCAAAGAATGAGAGAGGATATGGACCAGCCACTCAAGTTCGATGGCTCCAAGGTAAAGTGGATACCAAATGTACTGTTTAAACAGGATTCAGCTTTGCTTTAGGAAAACTGTTAATGCAAAACTCTTCAGTTCTCCAGAGCAGCATGTATGAAGTTCTTAAAAATTTGATCTCTGTGGCTAAGTACAGACGGTCAAAAAGCCCAAGGCTGTATCAGTTCAATCTTTGCAGGTTGGTCTGAGCTGGGTAGATTGAACTGATAAGCAAGTGAACAGACATTCACTTTTGATTCTGGAAATGCATCCATACGTCTGCAGTGACTCAGGCCAGAAACCAGGGGGCTGTAGTGCACGCCTCCTGGCTCGGCTGGGGCACAGCTTGGGCCAAGGCTTGCCCACCCACCCTGTGGGGGAGGTGCAAAGCATCCTGGGGTGATGGGGGACTGAGAGTTAACTTGAATCTGAAGGGGATTTGGGACAGAAGTTCAATAAACAGATTTAATCTAAATCAGTTAAGTTTGATACTACATCCATCCAGGTTTATCTTAAAATGGTTGTGAGCACTTTGAAAGTGGTTTATGTGCACTGAACTTCTGTTGTGTTACAGATTTGAATTAGTTTCTAATCACTTATACCAGTTTTATGTGTAATTTCTGCCCTTATGAATATTCTGTACAGGTTTTACAAGAAAGAAGTCCTTCTATTTCACTTCAGTGTTTATATGTGAAATACTGTATTTACTCAAATATAAGATGAGGTGTTTTTTCCCCCCCAGTCTACATGGGGAAACTCCTTTTCTTACATATGCATACAGGGAACCCTCATTAAATACATTGTCTACGTTTAAACTGATGTGAAGCAGCATGTGCTTAGTAATGGAAACCAACTATGAAGTTGATTAAATGCAGCCAAAACTCAGTATGACTATAAAATACATGGCCCCTGTGGGTCAAATACATGTATAGATTTTTATTTTTTTTATTTGTTTTTCTTTGGCCCTTAAACAAACAAACACAACCAGGGAACTTGTACCAGGCCTGAAGGTACTGCAATACCAGGCTAGCACCAGCAGAACTAGAGCCAGCCCTGCACCTTCCCCTTGGTGCCAAAAATACTATGGTTAGTGAAACTCATCTGAATAAGATGCATGGCAGTGTCCATTGCACTCAGCCCTTCTCAGCTCTTTCAAATCATGGTGAACCACTATATCGAATACATCTTGGCTTCTTCATTCCCATGGCTGAGCTGCACTTTTCTTTCCCATTTCCAATTATTCCTTTTTCTTTACCATCCTTAAATGTCTAGGAAACATCACCAAATGGGGCCCTAAACAGTATACCCAGAATTCCTCTGTTGGCCCCTCAGCCTATTATATATTATTAGTGTAGACCCGCCCTCCATAAGGTGGACCCAGAGCAAGTAAGCATGTGCCTGGCACCCTCATGTGGCTTAAACCACCATGCGCCCCTCTGGGATCCCACTGTGGCTTCCACACACTCCTTTTTCAGCCTCACCCAACCCACCAGTTGAAAGTGTAACCAAGGAGTAAGCCTTCTGGCTGTGACACAAACTAAGCCCTCCCTTGCTCTGAACATAAGCAATAGTTTACCTACCTGTATAACAAGGCTTCCCTTGACCCCAGGTAATATCGCTCTGTAGGGCACCAGCACTTTGCCTTCCTCAAAATAACCCCACTCTGGACTCTGTCTCTGCCCTAAGTTACATCCCCCTGCAAGTCAGCAGCATTCTTCTTGCATTAGTCCTAGGCTACCCCAGGTGTCAGCCAGGAGCTCTCTGCAACTCTCCTGCCACGGAGCTCTTTCTTGTGCAGCTTCAGGGTCAGACTGCCTCCCCTGGCTCAGGGTCCATGTTTATGTACCTCCTGGGCTGTCCCCCTTTCAGTCATGTGGCTCCCTGAGTGGCCACAGGTGCTTCCTGATTTCGCTTGCTGGCTTGACCCCCCGGGTGACTTGCTGCTGTCCTCTGCTATCGTAATAACTTGTCTCCCATGTAGGGTTCTAGCCGAGTTATACTGTAGCGCAGCTAGTTCTGCAGTAAGTACTTGTAGCAGGTAAATCCCTAGGTAGCTGTTCCCTGTCAGGTCATAATAAGCAGCTTTCCCTGTTGCTCCTTTTCTCTTAAATTAACAGGAGCCTTTGGCTCTGTTACTCCCTCTCCCCCACTTCCCCTCCTGTATTTGAAGTATACACATATACTGTACAGTGCTGAGCTCTGGGGTCTCCATAGCTTGAAACACTGCTGGGACCCAGCCCAGTGAGAAGTCATGTGCCTTTTGAATTTGGCTTAATATCAATAATAGTTTGTACTGTACATAAGTAGGTTAAGAAGTGCTGCTTAAGAGATGTGTTTATGGAGTACCTGTGCCAAAACTTGCAGCAGTTTCAAAAAAGGTAATATGCACCAGCTGGGGATGAACTCAATTACTCCATGCATATTATTTCAAAGTTGATGCTTTCAGATTTGCCCCTCACTTCCATGTACTCAGGGAGAGCAGGGTCTGACAGTAAGGAGGTGAGAGGAAAGGGCTGCATGGAGAAGAAGTTCTGGTAGGGGAGCAGAGGGCCCCCCAGACCTACTTCCCCTGCTGTAGCACTGGGAAGGGGACAAATTCAAGGCAAACTTGCAATAATTGGATTCTACATCTGGAAAATTATAACAAATTTACAGATTTTCCATATGTAGTTCCTAATTATTGGAGGTGTTGGCTTATATTTGAGTAAATATAGTAATAGCAACTGCAGAATTAGTTCACTAATTTGGGTGCACACCCAGGCAGAAGAAAGAATACATTGTTTTACCCTAAGAACTATTTAAAACAAAATTAAATTCCCCAAAATTTTTATTCTGCTGATGCCAACCGCTAACCTAGTTACTAATGAGTTGGTTCCTCCTGCCTTTTATTCCCTTAAGGAGAATAATGTTTTGCTGTCAGATGAGGAGAATTAATTCTGTTCACTTTGTCTGTCATTTCTAGTAGAGGCAATGAAATCACTGCGTTTTTTTAAATTGCTAAAATCACAGTGGTTTCTTGGCTCATTGGATCAGTGAGCTGTTTATCATCTCTTAATCACCTCTGCAGTATAATTGCAGCATTTGGTTTGAAAGTGAAAGCACTGTTTTCTGTGTAAAAAATAACGTAATGTGAGGAAAAGACAATTTAAAAGAATCCTTCCTGGTGTTAGACATTCTAGGCCAGGAGTTGGCAGCCCCCAGCTGTACCAGAGCATGGCACGCAAGGCCATTTTGCTCAACACATCACAGCCACCTCAGGCTCTGGGCAGCTGCTGCTGACCCATGGAACCCAAGCTGCTCACAGCAGGCAGCCAGGAAGCTGTAAGTTCTGCTGCAAGCAGGCTGGACTTCGTGGCTGGCAGCAGCTACCCAAAGCCCTGGCTGGTGGCAGCTAGGAGGTTGCAACAGCTGCACTGGGCTCTGGAGCTCCAGGTGGACTCCATGTTGGTGGCTACATGTGCACCTCCAGGAAGACAGCACAGAGGCAGGGGGACTGAGGCAGTGCAGCCTTGGCCCCTCCCTTGGTATCTGCTTGGAGGCTGCATGTGCAGCCACCACAGAGCCAGTGCCAGAGCTCTGAGCCTAGTGCAGCTGTTTGCAGTGTGCCTGCTGCAGCTGGCCAAAGCCCAGGCCAACTGTGGCAGGCAGCCGGGAGGCTGCAAAGAGCTGCATTGGGCTTCAGAATTCTTGGCCAGGTTCCATGGTGACAGCAGCAACTGCATGCATGCCTCTGGGTGGGCAGTGGGGGAAAAGCCAGGGTTGCAGTGCCTCAGGCCCTTTCCTGCCCAGAAGTGCACATGCAGCCTCCACAGGGCTGGGGCTCCAGAGCCTGGTGCAGCTGTTTGCAGGCTCCCAACTGCCTGCCACAGTTGGTCCAGGCTTTGGGCAACTGCAGCTGGTGGCAGAAAGGCTTCAAACAGCTGCACTAAGTCCCAATACCAGCTCTGTTGCCGGTGGTGACTGCAAATGCACTTTGGGGCACCGGGGGGAGGGGGTGGGGCTGAGGCAGCGCAGCCGCAGCCCCTGCCAGCAATGAGGATCAAGGAACGGGCCCCTCAGTTCGCCCACGGTCTGCCTCTGGCATGCTAAGTTGAGGCCTTTGTCGGGGTTGTGGTGTTTTTGGCACTGTGGCCGAAAACATTGCTGACCCTATTCTAGTGAAGGTTTTGGCAAAAGCATTTATACCAAAATGTCTGAATATAAACTTAAATAATTATTTGCTCTAGTCAGCATGTTTGACCACTTACAAAGGTATGGAATGTTTAACAATGTCTCTTTCTTTTTTGCAGAAATGAAAACATCAAATTTAAAGTAGAAGCAGTGTAATAAGTCAAGTTTGAATGTAATAGTTATAATTAACACTTGTACTATTTTGTAAATGCTCCAAATATTTTATTTTTGCATCGTTTTTTATCTTAAAATTATATAGCCTCTCTTTTTTCATTTTAAGCATCAGCATTATATCACCTTGCCTGGGTTTAATTACTCCATGGAATTAGTTTTTATGGAAGGTGGAAAAATTAGATTCTGACCATTTTCTATTTAATAGTCACTTTGATAGTTAATTTTAACTATCACCTGTTTTTTAAATCGATAATTGGCTTTTGAAGCAGAATTTAATCTTGTGCACCTGTGATTGTTACAGATTTCTGCCACTTGTGCTAGTATTCAAAGATGAGCTTGTAGGGAATGTGATTGCACAGTTATTTCATGAAGACTTGGTCTGTGAGCAAATTATTTTTGAGTTGTATACCACATTGTTGCTGTGGTATGGGTGCAAGAAAACATTTCCAGTTATTATATAGTAACTTAAAATGTATAGGATATTTTAATATATGCTTTTTGTAAAGAAACAATTTTTTTCTACTATTTGTTACAAATATCTTAACTCTTTAAAGGTATCCCCTAAAGATATACAAAATATAGAAACAAGTCATTTTTCTTAAGAAAAACAAACTCAATGTAAATGCACTACTAGTAGTTATGATTTTTCCTTTTCTAGTTGTACAAATCTTAAACTTGTAAATATAAAATGTTTACAAGAGGCCTTTTTGGTCTATTATTAAACCCTCCATGGGATTCATTCTTCTTGTTTTTATCCATATGCTCTGCTTTTAGCATATGCTTGCTTTTTGCACTAAAAATAACTTACCTCATTCTTTTGTTTGTAATCAGTTGTTTGCTTCCATAACATTTCTGTAATGCTTCTGTTTAAAAATTTAACCAAAGTTTTAAAATACGTGGTAAGCAGTTTTGCACATATTATGCTAACTTTGTAAACATACCTATTCCAGTTAGGATTCATAAGTGCTCATTTGCTTTACTTATATACTCTCCCCATCAAGTCCATTATTTTCCTTTTTACCTAGCTATCATTTTTTTTATCAAGTAGCTTGCTATTTAGGTCAGAAAGAACCGCTGTTGGGAAGAGAGGTTGATCCATTCCTGTGCTAAAGAAAACATTTGTTTGCAGTAGTGAAACAGAGGTAACATTTTAAATCCTGCTTATAAAAAATTGTTTACCAAAGTGTAGAGTAAAATGGCTGAGCTGTGCAAGGTTTTTAGCTGAATAAATTGAGGCATTTAATAAGATTTTTTTATCAAATCTGAATTTCTGCACATGTGCAATGAAATTTATACTTTGCACTTTAAACTTGTCCCTCAATGCCAAAAAAAATGTATCAAGGTTGAATTACATGCTTCTTCTCCTTAAACTTGTCTTAAGAACCCTCTAAATATAGAATATAAAACAAGTATGAACATACCTGTTTCACTTTTTTGTGGGGGAAGAATTGGGAAAGTATTCTTGAAGAGATTTAATAACCCAGATATTCTTGAGCAAATTTTATGGCCAAGTTTTTGGACCCTTGAAAGTAGAGTTCATAATGGAAGTGCTAATACAGCCTTAGCTAGTGCAGCACAATCTGTAATGCCACATGGAAATGCTGGGGATCTTAAATCCTCAATGTATAGTTGATTTATGACATAAGAGTAATATAAATAACTTGACTCCAAAGAGGAAGAGGAAAAAACCCTTGTGTTTTTGTTTATGATGACTGATGTCAGCAGATTCACTAGAAGCAGTGTTTACATTCTGAAAATGTATGATAAGGCTTTTTCCTGCAGATGGACAGGTTTTAAAACATTTTGTTTAAGTCTGCTTCATCAGTTTAGTCTTTGATGCTATCTATTAGGGGTGTGCGAAGCTTCGGTTGCCGATTTGATTCTGAGACGATTCGGCCCAATTCAGAGGCTAAATCACCGAATCAGAAGACCAAAAAAACCCCTCCCAATTGATTCGGAAAAGAATTCGGAGATTTGGAAGGCAGTCTTTCAGAGAAACAAACTGAGAAGAGGGAGGGGGAGCTGAGGGAGGGGGGGAAGACTTACATCTGTAGCTGGCCAGTGACTGTGATCTTTCCCTGAGTCCCCTTCCAATCACAGTGCTCTGGGGGAGAGATGTAGAAACAGCATATAAACCTTTGTCTCTACAGCCTTTCTATCCTTTTTGTGAGCTGTTTCTGCCTGAGCAAAAGGGTAGGTAGCTGACCCAGAAACAAGTGGGCGGGCAGTGATCTAACCAGCACTGGGAAAGGCCCCCTGTTACAGGCTGCCATCGCTGCTGTTTTCATCCAAATTTGCTTTGGCGCATACAAGTAACACCAGTTTTGCTTTCAGCTGTTTGAGGTGCAGTTTCCCAGAAACCCCTGCATCTATTTCTTTGAATCTTGGCAGGCTTCATGCCCTCAGAAGGGGCTGCCATCCGTGCTGTTTTCATCCAAATCTGCCAAAAAGTGACAGTTTTATAGGTATTTCAGTGACTTCCCCATTATAGTCTATGGCCGAATTACCAAATCTCTCCAAATCAGCGCCGAATCTTCCAAAGCCAATTCAGCCGAATCTATTCAGAGATTCAGATCACCATCCTGAATTGAATTGCTGTCCTCCAAATCAGCTGAATCCGAATCAAATACTTCCCTATTCGCACAGGCATACTATCTATTAACTAACAAAATCTCTACTTGCACAGAAGCTGTAACTAGAAGAATATATCTTGGTTTGTTTTTACTAGTACTGTGAAAGATGCCTTTAGAGAAAACACTTGTGGCTTTCATTTTGGATTTTTTGGTTGATAGCTGTGTTTTGTAGGAATGTTATTTAAAAATGAAGATCTGTTGAGGGGTGTCTGGGTGGGGCGTTTTGCACTTAGTTTCACATACTTTGCACTTTTTCTTTTAAATGGTATGTCATGACTACCAAAGGTAAAACTGTGGCTTTTTTCAATGAAAATATAATTTCTATGTAAGCATACATTTTTTCCAGCTGGCTTTACATAGGCTGTCATGCTCTTCCATTTGTCCAGTTGAATAGCGAACATATGCAAATATCCTGTTTCTGTTCTTTGCAGTTTTACTTTAAAATGAAATTGTGTTGCACAATGTAAAAATACATTTTCTGTGGTCTGCTTCTTAGAATTGTGCTTATAGAATGTCTAAATCTCACTTACCTGTGTTTGTCTATAAACTCAATATTGGACAAATATTGATGCCTATTCCAATTTAAAATTGATTTGAAATACTGTTGAAACCAGCTGTTTTTAGGTACTGCATCATAAGTGCTTTCACATTTGTTGGTAAAATGTACTTAACAAAATCTGCATTGATCAGAATACAGTATCCATTTGTAGAAATTTTCTGGTTTATTGAACATGTTATAAAAGGTTTTTTTTTGTTTTTTTTTTTTAATTGTGTAAGTAGAAAACAGGCTTCCGATGGCAGACACTGCAGCAACTTTTAACCTTAATGTTCTTGTAAAATTGGAAATAAAGTGAACAATAACCTACATTTTGTGTTTTAAAGTAATTATAGCAATATCTTTGTGTATAGTTTTGAAGTAGAGCACATGATGAGGAAGCCATAAAATGTGAAGATATAATAAATGTTGCCATGTCAATGATCTTGTTAATTTGAGGTGATCATAGTCCTTTGGCCTGTTACTACAGTGATCTCTACAAAGAAAGTTGACATTTTGTACAATAGAAAAAACTGAACTTGCTTCAAAGTATTGTTTGCTCTTTGTAATAAAGTGGTCCTTTCAAATGTATTACATTAAAGTGAAATGTATGTCTATGCTTCAAATCTAAATTGTTATGTATGTAACCTGAAAAGCTTGCATTTCCTTCTCGTTCCCCATACACGAGATTCTTTTAAGATGGGTTTCTTCTGAGAAGAGGATACATTTCCTGATACTGATGGCTCACATTTCTAGTACCATTCTCCTACAACAGGGTTCAACCATGTTTTGTAAGAAGGCCTTAGGATGCAGCCCGGTCACTGCAGTGATGTGCAGATCCCCTGCTACTGCCCCAGTACTTGCTTTCTTGCTGCCCCTCCTCACACTTCTCCCACCCAGTCTTTTTTTTTTACTAATGTAGAGGGTAGAAAGGAGGTAGGGCTCCGGTGTCAGCAGCAGCTGCATAGGTGAGAGATGGAGCACAGCGCATGCACAGAGTCAAATGGCAGGTAGAAAAGCTCTTGAAGCACACCTTCATTTCCACTCCTGCCCAAGCTGTGATGACCTGGATCTAGCCTCTTTGGGCTGGGCTGTAGGTTGCTAACCCATGTCATAAAACAACTTAATTGTACCAAGAAATGCTCTGGTCATTCAAATGTCTCCCTGCCTCCCCTAAAATTAAATTAGTCAGAAATGAAGGACAAATTAAATTGGTAAGTTTCACATTTTTAAATCCAATTTCATTCTTATGTAGAAGAGCACTTTCCACCAGCAAAGCAGCACGTGTTCTACAAGTGCATGCATTGCAGTTATGAATAGAATACCTTTACTTTATCTCTTAGTTAACACGCATTGTATGTTATGTTCAGAATTATTCCCAAACCATGTAATTCCACCTTGTTCATTGGAGCCTTGTTAAATTAACTGGAGTAATCTGCCCTTTCTTATTATATGTAATAGCAGCTAGGATTGTCAACTATTCCAGAACGTTATACTTGGATGGTTCCAAGATTCAGTGAAGACAGTACAGAAAAGTTGCTTTGAAAATGTGACTTAAAGGTTAATTAAACGGCTAGCTTTAACTAAGATTTTAATTGAGTTATGAGGTCCTTTCCAGTTCTAGCTTCCCAGCTGGAAGTAAGCAAAATAGTAAGATTGTGTTGGATCAGTGACAAAATATGCTTATGAGGGGCTTTGACTGCCACCTTAGATGCCTTATGAACCCATAGATGGATAGGTTGTTCTGGACTTCAGTTCTTCTGGAATTCATCCTTCCATGATCGGTCCCAATTCTGAAAACTTGAGATATACATATATTTTAATAGCATCACTCCCTTTAAGGGGAAAAATACACTTGTGCATAGAGCGATAGCACCTTACTTACTAATTCACCTTATTTGATGTATTATGAACATTCAGTTCTTGTTTCTTACTTTATCTACCCCAAAATATTGAAACCAGCAGTGCCCATGTGAACAAAATGTTTTAAAGAAACAAAATAAGTTTTGGTGAGTAAGCCCTGCCTTCAGTCTAGATCAGTAGTAGTCAGCCTCCAGTCTGCAGACCAGATCTGGCCTGCAGAGCCTTGTCTTCCAACCCATGGGATTCCCCAGGGGTCCAGAAACTTGATGGTAGGGAAGCAGTAGGTACAGTAATTGCTACTTCCCTACCACCACGTTTCTGGATGTGTGGGGAGCCTTGTGGGCCATATAATGACCCATGCCCTTAATTGTGCTGGCATGGCTACATCAATTGTGTTACTTCATGGTTATATCAGGGTGTGCAGGGTTGGACTGGCGCGCTGGCTTGTACCCAGGACCCATCCCCACATGGGATCCAGCTTGCAGACTGACCCCATGCCACTCATCTTTCCCATGGGGCTGAAAGATTGGGCACTACTGGTCTAGGTATAACTTTTAATATTTGCCAAGCAGCAAACAGCTTCCCTACAGCCAGGCTGCTTGCCATAAGCATGTAAGTTGGGGAGAGAACAAAAAAAAAGGTAGATTAAACAAGCTACAATGCTAACGGGCATATTCTGTATCTTGTATAGCTCCTTGCTCATTTGTCAGTAATGGATTATGCTCACCTGCCTACGGAAGTCAGAAGTGGTCTAATGTGGTCTGCTTTTCTGTCCTTAGCACCTCCATTTTTCTAACCATTTCTTTTCTTATAGAATTTCAGGCATGCTTACACATTTATGGGACTCAATCTATAATTGTGCATCTTACTTTAAGCTGTGTGATCTTAGATTGGGTTCCTACTAGGGCTGTGCGAAGTGGCTAGTATTCGCTTTGGATTCGGGGGACTAATTCACTGTCCTGATTCAATTCGGCCAAATCTGATTTGGAGATTTGGCTGCTGCTAAATCTCCCAATCAGCCAGGCCCCCGCCCCTCTCCCAGCCTGGCAATGGCTGCCCCAGCTCCTGGCACTTTAAAAAAAAACAAAAAAAAAAAACCCTGACTCAGTGAGTGCTGCCATGTGGCGGGGTGATCCCTGCTGCCCCCCACTGCCCCATGCTGCATGGGGGCTCTGCATGAGCCCCCAGCCCTGCCTTTGCTCCCCCTGCCCCCTCATGGGTGCCCTGCCCAGGCCAGCTCTGGCCCTTTAAGAAGTGTCTTCCCCCTCCCCCAAGACTCACTGCTGCTGCCAGCAGGGGGTGATTCCCCACTGCCCCACACCACGTGGGGGGCTCTGCATGAGCCCCCTGAAGCCCCAGAGCTGCTGCACGAGTGAAGAGTCCTGGGGGTTTTTCTTAAAGGGCTGGAGCTGGCTGGGGGAGCAGAGGGGGGCAGGGGCTCATAGCAGAGCCCCTCATGCAGTGGAGGGCAGTGAGGATTGCCCCTCCTGCCTGGCAGGACCTGATGATCATGGGCTTTTTTTGTTGTTGTTTTTTTTCAGTACCAAGCTGGGGCAGGTGGGGGCAGCTGGGCAGGGGTGTTGGGAAAGCAGGTGGGGGTTAGGGGGCTGGCAGGGGTCCCCCCCATGGTCCCCTCCCTCAGCTCCCCTTCCTGCCCCTAGTACTTACCAGCTCAGAGTCAGCTGTAGTTCCCTGCTACAGCCACCGGGAAATTTAAATTTAAATTGGTCCCCTGATTTGATTCAGATTTGGAGACTTGGCCACTGAATTGGGCTAAATCTCCTAATTGAATCATCATCCCAAGCTTTGCACAGCCCTAGTTCCTGCTTGTGTACAGTTCTGCTTCCAGGAATGTGATCTAAATTGGACTATGGGAGGGATAGGTG